GGAAAGAGGACAGAGAGAGTCCCCGCACAACACAGTAACACAAGGGGAAAGAGGACAGAGAGAGTCCCCGCACAACACAGTAACACAAGGGGAAACAGCACAGAGAGAATCCCAGCAAAACACAGTAACACAAGGGGAAACAGCACAGAGAGAGCCCACACAACACAGTAACACAAGGGGAAACAGCACAGAGAGAGTCCCCGCACAACACAGTAACACAAGAGGAAACAGCACAGAGAGAGCCCACACAACACAGTAACACAAGGTTAGGAAGACATTTAGCATTTACCTTTAAGTGCACAAGATAGTAACTATTTGTCTTTGCTAACCTGCCTTTTCTACCTAGTAACAGTATGACCTTTGATGCTAATGATATTACCAAAGAATGTCTAGCTCAATTTCACGCCTTCTATTTATACACTTCCTTTTGTCTATAGAAAAGGTAAATATGCTTCTTAAGAATAAGGTGGTCAATTACAAAGAAGTGTTTGCAGAGAAAACAACTCCTAATATTGAAATTTAAAATGAGCTAATCTGCGGAATAAAACCCATTACCTTCGTCATCATCAAGCGGCTGCTCACAGATCTGTATGACTGTATCCTCTCTATGCACATGAATAAAGGACTCTGCTGAACCCCACCTAACCTGAGCGAAGAGTTTTCTTCGACACAGGACAGAGAGAGTCCCCACACAACGCAGTAACGCAAGGGGAAACAGCAAAAACAGAGCCCCCGCACAACACAGTAAGACAAGGGGAAACAACACAAAGAGAGTCCCCGCACAACACGGTAACACAAGGGGAAACAGGACAGAGAGAGTCCTCACACAACACAGTAATGCAAGGGGAAACAGCACAGAGAGATCCATCACAACACAGTAACGCAAGGGGAAACGGGACGGAGAGAGCCCACACACAACACAGCAGCGCAAAGGGAAACAAAAAACTGTGAGAAGAGACTTTCACAGGTTTATCTGCAATCTAAATTCAACACATTGACCGTTAAAGAGAAACAACAGACCAACACTGCACCGGCCCCAACCTGCCTCACTCAGCCGAAAGCATGTGAGCAGTGTAACACTGCTGGCCCAGTGAGCTGAGCCACATGGTTCCCCCTGCTGGCTGTCCCTGGTTCTGCACAAATCACTGCCCCTTCTGTCCACACAGACAGTACCAGGTAAATCAACGACTGAGCTGTTTTGCTTTTGCTGCCACATAATCAAATTGAACAGAACTCCACCCCCCCCACACACACACATTTAAAGGAGAAAGTCCTATTATTTCTCCTTAGAGAAATATTATAGAAAGTACAGAATCTATCCAAACACGTCCACTCAGGGAAAAGTGCAAGGAACTAAACCCAAGGAGATTTACCCAGGAGAAGAGGGAGAAGTTACCCCTTGAGACAGCTGGTAGGTCTGGTTGAACTTCCACATGTCCGCCAGCACCTGCTCCACCACGCCCTCGTCGGGAAACTCTCCGTGGAAGTCGATGTGCATGAGGCTGGCCATGCGCTGCAGCAGCCCCGGAACCTGCAGCAGCTGCTCCCTGGCGCCCTGCACCCGGAACGTCCAGGCGTGGTCCACCAGGAAGACGCTGAGGAGCACAGGAGAGTCACACACCGCGCACAACCGACGGGCAGGGGTCGGACACAGAGGTCGGAGGGCTCTGTCCCAGACAGAAACACACGGCTGGTGCTTCCGATGAAGAGAAGAAGGATGACCCCCCTGAACAAACTTTTTTCAAAAGCATGTCTTACTGGTTAATACAGCTGCAAAGCAGGAAATCAGCTAGCTGACTGGGCTGGCAAAGGTGTTATTAACATTATGGGGAATTTCATATCAGAAACAAAAACAAATAAAAAATAAAAAAGATTGCAACAAACACACCTGGAAGCACGTGTAAGTGGTTATTACAGAATGGGATTTTCCTGCTGTCTGACACGTAATGCTGGGACAGGTGGCCCCCTGGTGGTGTTGTGTGGAGGTGTCAAAATGTAGAGGTGACTCTACTGGCCAGAGTGCAACACACCTTCTGAAGAGTATACGGGGAAACGGGCACTGCCTCCAGTACGCATGTATATAGATATTTGGCCAACTCTTTTATCCAAAGCAATATAGATCTGCAACCATTTATACAGCTGAGGATTTTACCAGGACAATGCAGGTGAAGGACATTCCTCAGGTGTACAAAAGCAGTGGCTCACCTAGAACTTGAACCCACAACCTCTCTGTCCAGAGCCCTGACAACTGCTGTACACTGCTGGCTTAAACATGAAAATAATACGGGAATACCAGTGTTTTACCTATACCATGCACCCGATTATAAAAGGGACAGACTGGGTGAACAACACATGGAAAATAATTTGTCCTGGATGTTCTTGTAAAGGCAAAGCATATGTGCAGAAACACAATATTCTGAAAAGAGAAATCTTATAGTAATACTGCACCACTGTTACACGGCCAAGAACTGCATTTGTATTGTTTTCACAGGAACCAGAAATCACGGTAACAAAGAATAAAACAAAACTAGCAGAGAGAAGTCAGATTCCCTACATGGACCTCTCAACCTGTCTGCCATCTGCTGCACTCCTGTCACTCCAGTTCTCCCTGGTGTTTCATGATCTTATTACCTACTAACCCTGAAACTGTGGTTCCTGTCTTTCCTGAGATCTTCATTCAGGCTTGACTTTCGACCTACATGTGCAACATACTGTCACAACATCCTTCTTTCCCCTCAGAAATACCACCAGACTACATCCTATGTTATTGCTAACTGCTGCTGAAAAGCTGAACAACACATTTGTCTTCTGAATTGACTACTGTAACGCTCTACTTGCAGGGGTTTCTAAATCCACATTGAACAAACCCCAGTATGTCCAGTACGGCAGCCAGAATCCTGACCAGGTCTAGTGCAAGTGATCACATTACTCCTATCCTGGAGTCCTTGCACTGGCTTCCTGTCAAATTCCATGTGGACTTTAAAATCCTCATGCTCACCTATAAGGCTCTGCATGGCTTGGCACCTTGTCTGAGCTACTATCGCCCTACTCCCTACCTTGCAACGTCCTTCCCACACACACGTATAAACCCAAGTAGTACTGAGCTTTGATTTGTTTGACATTCGGTAAAGAAGGCCCAGTCGCACTCAGTGGGGTTGTTATTCACTCTTCGATCAAGTCATGGACAAGTCAAGGGTGCTTTAACCCTTCTGAGGCACACCAACAGTTTTGAGCTACCGTCGCGACCTCAGACAGATGATATCTGGCATCAGTTAAGAGCTCCTCCTTGGAGAACCTACTCCTTGGAGTAGCAGGAGACCCTAGTGTTCCTTTGCTGTCACCATTCACTGGCACAAATTACACTGCGCCAAAGAGTCAGAACAGCAGCTCTCTGCCAGCAACGTGATTAACACACTCCGCTGACCCTGAGGGACGTACCCGCCACCCCGCCACCCCTCCGGCCCTGTGAGATATACCTGCCACCCCACTGAGCCTGTGAGATGTACCTGCCACCCCACTGAGCCTGTGAGATGTACCTGCCACCCCACTGAGCCTGTGAGATGTACCTGCGACCTCGTTGAGCCTGTGAGATGTACCTGCGACCTCGTTGAGCCTGTGAGATGTACCTG